AAGAGCCCACCCTATCCTTTTCCAGTACCTCACTAGCTCAGTAAAATTCACAGTGTCACGTGAGAGACACTGTGAACATTGTGACGCACAAAGATGAAGAAGGCACATCCATCCCTTCGAGTTCCTTCCAGGCTAGTGTGAAGAACAGACATGAAACTGGTCATCTTAATACAAAAGGGCAAGTGAGAAAAGGGGGTTAACAGGTCCCATGGGAGCACAGGCAGACCTCAGGGCCATGTGGCGGTCCAGCAAATCCTGCAGGAGGTGGAACCTGAATGATCGTCAATGATAGTAAGAGCTAGTCAAGTAACTGAAGATGGAATGAGTATTCCTAGCAAAGGGGAAGACTGTCAAAGGCACAGAGCATAAAACGGCCAGATTTATTCCAGAACTGCAATACTTAGCAGTTCATTGGCACAGGTCTTGCAAATGCCCACGTAGGGCCACACTGCTTGCCTGGCTTCTTTCCTGTGCTTTGGCCAGAGTAGAAGGACATTTCTCTTTTAAAATAAACTCCTAAAAATATCTACTTCCCTCAAAGGGAAAATTGTCTCTATTCAGCTCAGCTATAACCAAGATCAGTGTAACCAAGGATCCTTTCCTAAGGAGAGGGGTGAATGAGATGACCTCTTGCCTGGTTTCCGAGTTTCTCCACAGCAGCCCTACTGACACTTTCAGCTTTATAATTCTTGATCAGGGGTCTGTCCCGTGCCTTGTAAGTGCTTACACTCTAAATGCCCATAGGACTCCTTCTGTTGCAACAACCAAAAATATCACCAGACATTACCATATGTTCTCTCTGGAGGGGGAGGGGAGATTGCCCCCTATGAAAATCTCTGCTTTACTGCCATCTAGAACCATCCTTTCCTGCACCCATCTTCTCCAGAAGTTGATGTCACCACGGATTCTGAGGATAGCAGATTGCTCCCACAATACCCCCATCAGCGGTATCCTAGGAGAACCAACTAGCCTTCAGCCTGGGCTGGAAATATCAGGGCTGATTAGACTGATTTTAGGCACAACAGAGATGTTTATTATACAGTTTGCATTCCAAAAGGGCTTGTGAGAAATATAGATAAATATGTGAAGAAGTACTTTCAGAACTCAAGTGAGTTTTTCTCAGTCTTTCCCAAATTGTTGCAGGGTGTCTACATTTCTGGCCTTGGAAGCAGAGGGAGAATTCACAGGGGTCAAAGTGCTGAGAAGACAGAGAAGGGGCAGCCCAAATTCCAAGAGATGAGATTTCTGATGTTTGCCTAACAAGCCCCACCCAGCTCTAGGCGAAACAGAGAACAGTCACACAGAGAGCTTCCTACAAATTACCCAGAACTTTCTATGCAAATCCTGATCATCAGCAGTCTGGATTATCCAGAGGCAGATTCTTGTGGGGGAAAACAATCCCCTGGTTCCCTCAACTGAGCCTTTTGTGACTGTATCACCATCACTGTTGATACTTGTTCTGACCCATAGCCTACATCCCAGAAAGAGAAAGAATGAAATAACCCAAAATCTAAAAACCCATTTTGGTTTCCTTGACCTGCAGGAATGCGTGAACCAATGAGTCAACAAGCTCTTGGAACAGGAAGAAACTGTTTGGTGTGTTCTTCCCTGGTGGGGTGTGGGGAGGGAATAGGCAGAGAGGAATGGATGGGGATGGGATTGGGGTGAGGGACTGCAGTTGGGTCCCCGTGGCATCACAGGAGGGTGTACCTCTCCACACCCAAGGAGCAAAGAAAACAGGAGTGAACCAAAGCAGAGAGAGCCCCAAATCCCAGTTTAAGGCATACAAGTCAGCATTATTCAATAGTCATGGAGAGTTCCCCTATGGGCAAACAAACATGCCTCAGAGTATAGGAAAAGAATGGACAACACAGCACCAATTGGCTCCTTACTCAAAAGATAAAAAAGTCTAGTCAAGTGGAAGAAAGCAAACCCAAGCCCAGAGACTTAAGAGCACCTGAAAAAATCACCATAGAATTTCACAAAGAAATTCTGTAAAAGCTGACGTGAAGAAAAAAGAGGAGTCCTCAGAATCAGGCAAAGTTCCCTGGAAGTGTTTCCAGCCTGGATCAGAAATGATCAGGGCTAAGTAGAGAATATCCAGCCACAGATGGAGTTAATTCCTTCAGTCTCAGGTCTTAGCACTGAGTTCACCTGCTTGGTCATTTCTTTGGGACAATGACACCTCCAAGAAATAGCCCTCTCCATGGTGCCATTCCTCCTGAGCCAGCCTATCCCTGGCTACTCTCCCATTTAAGAAGCTGCATGGATTCCCCCTGCTACCTGAAGGCTACTTAGATGGTTGGGGTGTCCTGAAAACCCCCACAGGATGCACAGGGGCCAGTGGCTAGAGTCCAGGGAGAACAGCAAAGGAAAGAAGCCATTGGCTGAATGTGAACTTTGAGACATGGACAGTGTCCCAAAAAAGGCTAGTCCTCATCTGGGCGTCCCTTGGAGCCCATTTAGAAACCCCTTGACTTCTCAGGGGTAGGTATTCTGGAAAACTTGGCCCAGCCTCTACTGCCTGGCTGATTGTTCTCTTCTCCTTGACTCTGGATGCTGGAGCTCTGCCTGGGCCCTCTTCTCTTCAATCCACCTGGGAGAGCTTAGCGGTTGCCATGGCTCTAGAAATAACCCTAACCATCCTTATGCAGATGATGTCCAAATGGGAGTCTCCAGTCCTGATATGTGTCCCTTCTGAAACCACATCCACTGCTCCAGCCGTAGGCCAGATGTCTACCTTGTGAGCAGCTCAAACTTATCTAGAGCCGAGCTCCTGAAGGGCCTCCTCAGACCCATCCTACCTTCGGCCCCTCCCTTCCCTCCCCTCTGCAGACGGCATCAGCCATGATGCAGCTGCTCCCGCTGGAAAACCAGGCAGCACAGGCACATCTTCCTTCTCCTTCATGCCTGCATCCAATCTGTTCACAAGTCCTGCCATTTCTCCAGGTCAGCCACCAGGTTCTCTTCCCCATACACTTACCGCAGAGCTTGAAGTTATTTTGATTGTTTGCTTACTTTGTTGTTGTGCTCCCTTATTACAACAAGAGCAACACAACATCTTATTTTTGCTCACCAATGTATCTCCAACATTTAGCCCAGTGCCTGAGAGTTAACTTAGTGAATATTGGTTGAAGGAAGGAATGCATTAACAAAGACTTCACGTAAGGGGAAGCAGCTGTCCCATCACCGGCCTGGCACCTTCCCGCACATCCAGCCCTCTGAGCTCTGAGCTGGGGCAGGCACTGGGTCTCACCCAACTAACCTTGTCCATGAAGGGATGCCAGCCAGAAAAGGCACCTTCCTGCCCAAAGATGAAGCAATAGCTACCAAATCCCACATCCAGCAAAGGTTCTTCCTGGGAGATCAGAGAGAACTCTGCTAAGTGAGAACACTTGCTCTGCTAAGAACAATTGCTCTGCTAAGTGAGAACATAGGATGTCCGTGCAAATCTCAAGCCCCAGTTGCTGGTTTTCTCTGTTTAATTATCATTTCCCTTCTCTGGAAGAAATTCAGCTTTGGCCTAAGATGGAAATATTGCGTCCCTGGCCCAGCTTGGCTTACCATTTCTACTCCATTGCCTACGTGTTCTCTGGGTACCCAGGCAGCTGGCCATGAGGGGAGCAAATATAGCCTCAGAGACAGTGTGGGGCAGGGGCAGGAGCTCCAGGCTTAGGATGCTTGGGTGCACTCCCAGCTCAGACCTTCAGAGGCTCTAGGATCCTAAGCAAATCACCAGACCTCTCTGACCCTCGGTCTCCTTCTTTGCAAATAAAGCTCTTGGACTCCTTGAGACTGAGTTTCTTCTAGCCATGACCTTCCAGACAGCACTGCCATGGCTAACTGATACTTTATCGGGGCTTCCTGGTTCTGGAAGCTTCCATGGCTGGCACACAACTTAAGAACCCAGTGTGCATGCAGACAGGTGTAGGACATTTTCCCACCAGTGTCAATAGTTTTTTACCCAGAAAGGAGGCCTCTGTGGGCAAAGCTGGGTTAAAGACAGCTAACAGGTAGTCTTTGCTACAAGCCTTCTCAGAACCTCTAATATGTGCTCCAAGGAGGAAAGATTTAAAGGACACAGAAGGCTTTCTGCAGAGCTCCCTCTACAGAGTGGGGTTTTGGGGTCAGACTTTGAGATAGGTAGCTCCAGGAAATCCCTGCAGCCCTGGAGGTCTAGCGGCTCACACTTGCCCAGGTGCACCTGGATGGGGTGGAAAGCTTTCAGCTTGTCAGCTGGAGTAGGGACCAGCGCCAAGGAAAGAACTCCTCCATCCCCAAGCTCTTCAACAACTGAAGGCCCTCTTAGGTTCCCCCACATGATAGAAGGCAAGGGAGAAATGAAAGTCTACAAGGTCCCACCTTCCCCTCTAAGAACTGTGAGTCAACAGGACCTCCTGGAGTGTGACCCTGCCAGCGCCTCTCCCCTACCCTCTCACCATGCTCAAACAATACAGGAACCACCCAATCTTGCCCATTTCGATCCCATACAGTGGACAGGAGGGAGTGACTGCCTTAGAGGCAAAGAATCAGCATTCCAGCTGTTCTGCGGACAGACAGCACTGGGAGAGGGTGACAGGAGTCACTCCAGTGGGGAGAAAGGTGGCCAGGGAAGACGCAGAGGTCTGATGTGAAACACAATGCACTTTATTGGCGACAGAATGGTTGGCAGAGGGGTCTGTGTGTTATATACAGCAGAACTGATGACCATTTCCCCCAGGGAGGGGACCCCAAGGGCAGGACAAGGTGGTGGCTCAGGCCACTCCTGGACAACCAGGCAGAGGCGGGAGCCCGAGAGAGCACCCGGAGTTCTCAAGGCTAGGCTCGGCCAGGGGTCCGGATGGAGGAGCCAGAGGCCCCGGTCTTTGAGCCCCAAAGAGCGGCTAGGAGGGGGCGGTGCTGGGATGGGTGTGGAGGGTGCGGGGTGGCGCTGACTGCGGAGGGAAGGCGCGGCTGGGGGCACGAGGCACTGGGGAGGCTGCGGGGCCCAGGCGCAGCGTTTATCTCGAGCAGCGCTGCGAGGACTGCGAGAACTTGACGCTCCCGCCCCGGTTGCTGCCGGAGCTGAAGCCTCCGCTGCTCACCCCGCAGCGAGCCCCGGAGCCGAAGCTGCTGCCGCCGCCGAAGCCGCTGCTGCCGCCGCCGAAGCCGCTGCTGCCGCCCCCGAAGCCGCTGCTGCCGCCTCCGAAGCCGCTGCCGCCGCTGAAACCACAGCCGCCGCCGAAGCCGCTGCCGCCGCCGAAACCGCTGCCGCCTCCGAAGCCACTGCCACTTGCCCGGCCGAAGCTGCCCGCGCCTCCTCCCGCACCGAAGCCGCCGCCGAAGCCGCCGCCTAATCCACCTGCTGAGCCCGATGTCGCGCCGCCACTGCTGACCACGGCTGCAGGGGAGAGGACAGAACAGTGATTAGCGCCCAGCGCCCACCTCCCTGTATCGTAACTAATGGGCCGGGGATGATGGGCATGAGACGGAGGCGGCTTTGCTCCTGATGATCACTGTGATGCAGTCTAATGGCATAAGGTGCTCGCCCCGTAGTGCTAAGTCCTTAATGAATCTCCCAGTGGTTCCTTCTACCTATGGTCAATTCTTGATGACACCGTTGGAGATGATCCAGAATTTCTCTGCCCGTTAACAGGCTCCCTGCTGGATATTCCCGGTTCCATATAGATCAATTAATAGTGCCCTGAACCCAAAACAATGACAAAAGCAGATCTGCTGCCCCTTCCACCCATGGAAAACCTCTCCAACTTCCACAGAAATATTTTCTAAGTAAGATGCTACTGCCCTGTGTGAGTATAGATATTTCAGAATCGGTTCTCATTGTCATGATTATTTGGGCTACTTACAGATACTGACAGCGCTCTGACACTCTCCAGACATCCTACAGGAGAAAGCAAGAGACAGATAGCTCTGTCACAAAGCAAATTTCCAGCAATCTTTCATGGATGAAGGTGTTGAACAGCAACCAGAATTAATTCAGAAGCCAAGCAGATCAGTGCTGTTTCTGACCCTTCTGTGGACCATACAGACCCCTGTGCACACTGGTTTCACTTGAACTTTGGCCATCTATGGAGAGAGTGGCCTTGCGAAAGCAAGTGCTTCTCTGCAGAGCCTGTGGAAGGTGGAGGCCTCTCTCCATACAGCAGCCCTCTGTTCTCATTTACTTGGTCATTTATCAGGCTCTCAGCAGGTGCCTTCTGTCAGGGAGGGTGGGGAGATGGAATTAGAGCCCACCTGCACTCCTCCCCCTCCAGCAGCTTCCTGTAGGTGGCGATCTCCACATCCAGGGCCAGCTTGACATTCATCAGCTCCTGGTACTCCTTCAGCAGCCGGGCCAGGTCATCCTTGGCCTGCTGTAGGGCAGCCTGCAGCTCTTGGAGCTTGGCATTGGCGTCCTTGAGGGCCAGCTCCCCGCGCTGCTCAGCCTCAGCGATGGCCGCCTGCAGGTTGGCATTCTGGGGCAGGGAGAGGCAGGAGAAGAGATGAGCCTAGGAGGGTCCCATACTCTCTGAGTCTTATAATAGCTTATCCCATAGCAAGCATTTTCAAGCCAGGCAACAGCACTCCCCAACACCTCTATCTTGTCTTCATCTACTGAGATATTTTCTCTATGGATTGCCAGCGCTCTAGACTGGCCTGGTCTTTGAACTCCCTGGAGGCCAGTGCTGCCTGAGATGACCCCAGAAGTCTGTTCCAGACTAGGACTCATGAGATCCTTGCCCCCAGCCCCCGCCAGTCCCATCCATTGCCATCCCACCTGCTTCTTAACATTCTCGATCTCAGCCCGCAGCCTCTGGAGCATCCTGTTGAGCTCCATGATCTCACTCTTGGTGTTCTTCAGGTCATCCCCGTGTCTGCCAGCCGTGGTCTGCAGCTCTCCCAGCTGGGGAACAGAAGAGAAGATGAGGTGTTGATGCAGCTTTGACTGACTTGTCTCTCCACCCCTAACATTACCCACCCATTCTTGAGGTCTCAGTGAGCATTTGTTCAAATGACATTGATTATGCTTCAGCAGGGACACTTTGGAGGCCACAGTTGCCATCTGGGTTGCCATGGTCAGCGTTCTCCCACCCTTCAGTCCCTGAGCAAGCTAGAATCTGTCCCACATAGTCTGACAGGGGACAGTGGAAACACCTTCCACCAGGGCCGGCACTTTCTGCAACTGAACAACCATTAGAAAGATGTCCCCAGAGAGTAGAACCAAGAGGAGTCTGCCCAGTGACTACAGGGGACTCACCACCAGCAGGCCCACGGACCACAGTCTCCCTGAAACCTCTCAGAAGTATCTAGCTCCCACCTTGGTCTGATACAGCGCCTCAGCCTCGGCCTTGCTTCTCTGGGCGATCTCCTCATACTGGGCCTTGACCTCGGCGATGATGCTGTCCAGGTCCAGGAAGCGGTTGTTGTCCATGGATAGGACCACGGATGTGTCGCTGACATGACTCTGCATCTGGGACAGCTCCTACCAACACAGAGCCTATTAATTTCTCAGGGCCTCTGCAACAAGCATACAGAGGCCTGGAAACAAAGACCCATTCTCTGGCTCAGCACTGAAGGTACATCTACCCCACCCTGCCCCGCAGCTCCTCAGAGAACCCCAAGTCTGCCGTCCACCCTGTGGAACCCCAACAAGGGGCCTTATCTCTTCCTGGGCTCTAGATACCAAAGTGTCCCAGTCTTGAGACTATCTCACCTTCCCTTGCTCCCCTCTTAGGAGGTAACATCCTCACCATATCATAGAGGTTCGTCAGGAAGTTGATTTCATCCATTAAGGCATCCACCTTGGCCTGAAGCTCCACCTTGTTCATGTAGGCGGCATCCACGTCCTGGGAAAGACAGAAGCATAAAGGCCTCATTCCCCCAAGGAACAAACAACAAACTGCACGTGCAGCAGGAAAAAGTCAGGACAGGCTTGTGACTGACCAGTCCTTGTCCGAGGCTGGTCTGCACATGAAGGAGTAACTCACATCCCACTGGGATGATTCAAAATGGAAAACAAACGAACTGACTCTTTTAGGGATCTTTCCAGTCTACAAAGAACCTGGCTTCTCTTTTTTGCTCTAAGTGCCTGAATTTGGCAGCTCCATGGCGGTGGAGTAAGATTTCCCAGCTCAGCTGGAAACCTGTGCCCACAAGCCCCAGGAACCTCACACACAGCCCTTACCTTCTTCAGGGTCACAAATTCATTCTCAGCAGCTGTACGTTTATTGATTTCATCCTCATACCTGTAAGGATTAAAAAGAAATAGCTGAGTTTGGGTTTTGAGGTAGTCATAAACACCACTTTCATCTGAAACTGAAAGTTCATCTCTCCATCCCTGTCCCTCAACAGCCCCTCTCAGCGGAACACATCCTCCTTACCATCCCCCTCTTCGTTAGGGGGACCGGCCATTCCAGTTTGCCCCAGCACACTGGCCTTGTTCTAGCCCTGAAAGTCCCACATCCTGGGAAGCCTCTCTGTGCCGGGGAAACTGGGACGGTTGGTCAGCACACCATGAGTTGTCCCAGCATCCTTCAGTTCCTAGAACCAGAATCTTCCCCAACATGGACCATGAGGAAGTGCTTCCTCAAGCCTACGCTCATGCCACTTGCCATAACTTGCAGGGAGCCCAATGAACCAAGCTGCCCTCTGTGAAGGTAAGGAGAGGAAGACAGTCTAGGTGGTGGGGGCGGGGGGGATGGACAGAAAGAGCGCGGGAAGAGCTGGGACTCCGAAACCTGGTTGCCCATGGCAACTTCCCATTTGTGCATGTCACTCACTTCTTCTTGAAGTCCTCCACTAGGTCCTGCATGTTCCTCAGCTCTGAGTCCAGGCGGCCCCTCTCCCCCAGAATGCTGTCCAGGTAGCTCCGCTGGTTGCTGATGTAAGTCTCAAAGAGGGGCTCCAGGTTGTTGGTGCTGGTCATGGAATTTGTGCCCTGCTGCTGGAGCAGGTTCCACTTGGTCTCCAGGACCTTGTTCTGCTGCTCCAGGAACCGCACCTGCATCGGGGGGAAGCTGCATCAGGCAACAGTAGTGGCAGAGGCATGGTATGGGGGAAGATTCTGAACCACCAGTGGTTCAGGTAGGACTAAGTGTCTGAATCTCCCCATCCCCCAGCACAAAGGCCTAGAAAAGATGTGAAGTTAGGTCCCTACTGTAGCTGGAGAGGCTATGGGCAGATGACTGCTTTATTTGGGCCGCTAAAGATGCAGCATGGTTTGGAAAGTTCTAGAAGGAGGAGAAACACGTGGGACAACTGGAAGTAACCCCTGTCTGGAAGCAGTTTTAAAGATGACTGCTCTGCATCCCCAGGGGACTTCAGGACTCTAGCCCAAACTGCAAAAATACAGTGCACTCTGCAGAAATGTACTTGAACTCAGCAGCATAGCTTCTAACTAAAGCTCTGCTGACACTCAGCCGTTCAAGGGATGTGAATCACTGGGAACTGATACTGATTGGAATGCCATAATCAGCATGGCAGGGAGGATCCCATCAGTGTAAGCTACCCTGGTCTGGAGGGCACCAAGCACCCCTCTCTTCCAGACCAGGTCAATTTAGGGGTGCAGACTCACTGCCAGCTTCTCTGCAGACCTGTTGGGACTAAGGTTCCAGGTAAGCCTCTTTAATCCCTTCTTTAGGGCATCCACCTCCTTTTCCTGGCACAGGGGCAAGGAGGGAGCAGGCCTCCCAGAAAGCCTCAAAGGGCAGCTCATGTCCAAAAAATGCCCAATCCTGGGTCAGACCTGTCCCTGCCAGGGATCGTGGCTCTTGCTGTGTGTTGCCAGTGCTGCAGCCCAGGCCTAAATAAGGCAACAGTCAGGAGACTGGAGCAGGGAGCCAGAGAAGCAGGACTTGCAGATGTCCAGGTCCAAAGAGGAGCCCATTGTCTTCCCTACACAAGGGACCATGTAGGCAAATTCATCAGCCTTGAACATCTTGCCAGACTGTAGAGCTCTGCCTAACCATCCCCTTCCAGCCTGGCTCATCCAAGATTGATCCTAAACACTGTCTGAAAGTCAAACTCAAAGTCCCAGCCCAGAAATGGGGGCCCAGTCCAAACTTCATCACCTTGTCGATGAAGGAGGCAAACTTGTTGTTGAGGGTCTTGATCTGCTCCCGCTCCTGGGTCTTTACTTGCCCAATCTGGGGGTCGATCTCCATATTAAGGGGCTGCAGGAGGCTCTGGTTGACGGTCACTTCCTGGATTCCTCTGGGGAAGCCACCAGGACCAAAGCCACCAGGCCCACCAAAGCCACCAGGCCCACCAAAACCACCAGCCCCTCCTAAGCCACCAGCTCCTCCAAAGCCACCAACTCCTCCAAAGCCACCAAGCCCTCCTAAGCCACCAGCTCCTCCAAAGCCACCTCCTATTCCTCTGCCACCACCAAAGCCACCACCAAAGCCACCTCCATAGCCACCCCCAAAGCCACTGCCACAGCTGCTACGCCCTCCCCCAAAGCCACCAGCCCGGGAGCCACCAGCCACACTGATGGAGATGCTCTTGTTGCCACCCAGGCTGTAGAGGCTGCGACTGCCAAAGCCACCTGCTCCGGCCCGGAACCCACAGGCCCCTCCGCCAGCTCCCCCAGAGCTGGCCACACAGCTCATCCTGCTGCTGCCAGAGACCACGGCAGAGCGGCCCGAGAAACCCTGCCTGCTGCCACCAGATGTCTTGCAGACTTGTCTGTTCATGGTGAGAGAGCTTGATGAAGGAAGAGCACGAGAGTTAAGCAGGACACTGAGAGTCCGAGGAAGAGGGAAGGGAACTGAAGACTTGTGCAGAATAAATCCCTTTATATACCTCAAGGAGGTGGCTGGGCTCAAACCAAGGAGAGATAATTAATCCCAAACAGTTATGGGTGGGGTTTGCCTCCAAGGCAATAAGTTTGTTCCAGGCTACTAAACACACCTTGAAAATAATCTGAAATGGTAAAAATGCTAAGGTGGCAGGCTTACCTGGCAGGGGGTGGCGCCTGGCGTGCCCCATGCTTGGGCATGGCCACCTCCTAGCTTTGTCTGACAGGACCCAGGAGGCACACTCATCCCTGCCAGGTGCTCAGCGGCCATCTATCTGCCTTCCGCTGTGGAATGACTGGACTGGAAGGTGGGTTCGGGAGGTTCTGGTTGTCTGGGTAGTGGAAACAGTGAAGCCCACCCAGACTCAGTGCAAGGATCTCGACAGAAGGGATGATTCAGTTCACTCCACAGCCAACACATGGCCATCAAATGCCCACTGTGTGCCCAGCTCTGTGCTAGGTTTGGGAATGAAATGATGACCTTTCTTCCTCCCTTTCTGGAAACAGAGCTCAGAGCCATGACAAATCTTCCTCCTATCCCAAGCTGCAGGTCAGGAGGCAATGGCATTTGGGTTCGTGACGGTCTTCCAAGAAAAAGGGCAGTTAGCACCTATGCACTTTGATGAGACATCAGCAAAATTCAACATGAGAAATGTTTATTTGTTTCCTTACTTGCTTGCTTTGAAAATTTCCCAGAGAAACCGTACATTATTCTATATCTTGGCACATCTCGAAAGCTTCCTTTCCTGCTTCCCACATTTTTGCCACTTCTCTGGTTTCAGCCCAAGTCCCAGAGGACAGGAAATTCAAACATCAATTCTACCACCTGTTCACCAAGTAATTACTGATCTTCTAACTCGTGCTAGGCACGGTGCAAGGTACAGATTCTCCGTGGTGAACAGGACACACGGGGACCATTCTCAGGTTAAGGGACTATGCTCCCAGGAGTCTGTACCCTCAGTATCCAGACCCACCCCCAGCCTCGGGAAGCTGGACCAGCAGTGCCATAGCATGGCCATACATGTCTGACTCCGAAAGCCTGAGAACTTGCCAGCCTGGTGTTTTTCAGAGGCTTAGGACTGGGTTTGGCTCGTCCAAGAGGAAAGCCTTCCTGCCAAATTAGCCGCTTATCTCTCCAGGACAGGTCTTTTTTCGTTCTCTCCGCCACACGTTAGGCCCTGCTAAGGGTGTGGCTTGTGCAGAGCCGGCAGAAGCTGGATCAATGAGAAGGGAGGAAAGGACAGGGGGTTGTTCAGGGCTGGGTGGGGCTGGGAACGGCCCAAGTGCAGAGGAAATGAAATTTTCTTCTGTGACCTGGTTCTCCCATTGTCCTTCTCTCTGCCATTTTTTACTCACAGGCTACCCATCATCTTGGCCCCTTCCTGAGAATAAAGTCATAAGCTTTCCAGGAGTTTACGATCTTCTTAATGTACTAGATCCCTTGCTTCTTAGCACCGTGCTTTGCCAATGATAGATGCTCATAAAAGTTGTTTGGTTGAATGAATCAATCAATTAATCAACTGATGAATTCATGAATAAATTAAGGCTTTACTGAATTACAACCAAATAAAACCGGTCAAAAGTGGGTTCAAATCCCATGACATGAGGTAACCTAAACTAATTGAGATTATCTTAGCATGAGGAATCCAGACCTCTCAAATCTGGTGTGCAGGTATATGTGCACAATGAGTGCCTCCTCCTTTCCAGTAAAAAAAATGTTGTGGAATCACAGTTCAGGAACCAACCAATTGAGAATCATTCCATCAGAGGGGTGGGGGGATGGGCAAAATAGATGAAGGGGATTAAGAGACACAAATTTTCAGTTTATAAAATATTTATTTCTAAAATAAATAAATCCCAGGAATGTTAAGCACTGCATAGGGAATATAGTCAATGGTATTGTAGTAACTTTGTATTGTGACAGACACTTACCCCGGTGAGCATTTTGTAATGTATGTAATTTTAGAATCACTATTTGCACACTGAAACTAATGTAATTTTGTATGTCAATTATATTTTAATTTAAAAAGAATCAATCAGGGGCACCTGGATGGCTCAGTTGGTTAAACGTCTGCCTTCCGCTGGGGTCAGGATCCCAGGGTCCTGGGATGGAACTCCGAGATGGGCTCCCTGCTCAGAGGGGAGTCTGCTTCTCTCTCTCCCTCTGCCTGCCCCTCCTCGTGCTCTCTCTCTCTTTCTCTCTCTCTCTTTCTCTCTCTCTCTAGCTCACTTGCTCACTCGCTCTCAAATAAATAAATAAAATTTTAAATAAATAAAGTACCAGAGTCAGCTTAAAGTTGACTGGGTATTTGAGATCCTACAATCTGCCTCTTGCCCTGTACTGGGATCCCCTCCCTAGCAAGTCTAAACTGAAATTCTGACCTTCCCCAGCCACTGGCCCAGGCTTCATGATATGTGAAATTGGCTGAAGGCCAAGAGGGTGGCCACCAATAGCCACCCTCCTTCACTTTTCTCCTTCACAGGAACCACACTTTAAAGAATGAACCAAACCCAGAGCTGGGCCAGCCCCACCCCATGACTAAACATGACCAAAGCTGTTTAGATCCTCTGGGTTTCAGCATCATTAACCATTGAAGTTGGCAATCACCTCGGCCCCTCTGAATCTCACAGGAACAGAGCTAGATGAGTGGGATCTGTCAAGTGTTTCAAAAAATATTTCGCAGGGGCACCTGTGTGGCTCAGTCAGTTAAGCATCTGACTCTTGATTTCAGCTCTGGTCTTGATCTCAGGTCCTGACTTCAGGGTCGTGAGATGGAGCCCAATTTCAGGCTCGGCACTCAGTATGGAGTCTGCTTAAGATTCTCTCTCTCCTTCTCCCTCTGCCCCTCCCCACCCCACGCTTTCTCTCTCTCTCTCTCTCTCTCCTTTTCTCTAAAATAAATAAATAAACCTTTTTAAAAATGTGCCACAAAAATTGGGCCATATTTCTTTTTCTTAGTATTAAAAACCAAGTACTTTAGAGCCAAACGGACCCAGTTTTTTAAAATTTTTTAATGGAAATCTAACTGACATACATCATGGTAGTTCAGGTGTACACAGACCCAGTTTTTAAATCTCAGTGTTGTCACTGCACATCCCTGAGCAAGGTTTAACCTCTCCAGGCCTCAGTTTCTTTGTCTATAAGATTCAGTTATTAATGATATGTTTCTCATAAGGTCATTGTCATGCATGGAAAGTACCTAGCATACCACCTGAGTTCAGGCCATGTTCACTATCATTGTTAACTATTTTTGTCAGCTTTCACGCCTGTCAAAAGAATCAATTCCACAAAATGATTATTCCACTTACATTTATCCATGGAGCCCCCCCCCAGGGAATGGGAGCACAGCTTGGGGCTGGATAGATAGAAGCCATATCGAACTCCATGACTTGGGATGAGGGGAAGTGGGGCCTCAGCTGTCAGCCTTCCACAGAGAAACCAGTGAGCAAATATGAAGAGTGTTTTCTGAGCCTTGACTGTCTCAGTTGCCGTGTGGTAGAATTGTTTCCAAAGAGTTCACAGTCTAGACAAGCCAAACCAAGTAAGACTGTATAACTGTTTGTTGTGTGGTGGGTGCTGTGAGGGCGTGGACAGTTGGAAAAACACGGAATCACACAGGAAGGCTTCATGAAGAGACATGGGCCAATACTTCTGAGAAGAGCAGGATTAGAGAGAAGGAAAAGCATTTCAGCCCAGGTGGTCATGAGCCAAGTCTCAGTGTTGAAAACAAGCATGGTTGGATTCAGAAAGTGATGACCATGGCGGACTTTTGTCATTTGTGGCTACACAACATCGTGAACACCATTCCTACATTTTGGCTATTTCCCACATTGTGATTCCCACCTTCCTAGGGCAAAATCCAGAAAAGATGTTCCCAGACTCCTTTACAGTTGGAGGCCAGGCCTCTGGCCTAGATTCTTCCAATGAGGTAGACCCTTGTGAGACTCAGACTCTGATATAGATGATGTAAGGAGATAGCCGTGGACAGACAAAGCAATTGGGCTTCCTAGAGAGTGCAATGACAGACACATCTGGGCCTCCATGGGCAGAGGTGGGATGTTGTCACTTTGCCCCAAACATCATGGGCACAACAGCAATGGCCACGTTGTTGTCACCAGAGCAGCCCCCAGGTGTGGCTGAGCATGACTCCAGGCTACCCAACTCCCAGAGATGCCATGGGCAACAATGTCCCTTAATACACTATTTTTCACTTACATTTGACAGAGTGGATGTTCATATTTGCAGGTATGAGCCCTGACCAATACAGGGATGAGGTAGCCCTGGCTAGAGAAGAAAGGGACTGGACGGTGGAACAGGATGGAGGGCCTGCCTGACAGAATGAGGTTGCTGTGTGGCTGGGTGTGGGCCCTGTAGTCTAGGGTATGAATCCCTAGGATTCATAAACCCACAGTGAATCAAGGTACCCAACTGTCCCCCAACTGGGGGAGATTCCAGCCATGGCCAGAGCTCACTGATTCTAAGCCATACTTGCCATTCCTCTGGAGGGAATTAGCTTGAAGAAGAATCTTTGAGAAGCAAAGTCACAACACACCACTGCCATCACCTAGTTCTAGAGCTGGGACCTCTCCAGACAGTAGCAGAAGGAGTGGAAGGAAGGGCTTAATCTACTCTTGTTCTGCTGCCACAATTTCAGAGCAGGCATTGCCCATGAGGGAACAGGAAGCCAACCAGGAACTGGGAATGTATTAGCAGGACTAGAATATTGATTCTGATTGAAGAGTCCTCAGTGATACAGGTGATGGAAGCGGAGGAAGCAACCCTGGGTTGAAATTCATGATGGTCCTGCCCAGCCCTCTGGATTGGCAAGACCCAATAAATATTTGGAAAAAACACAGTTGACTTACACTCATCCTGTACATCTGGATTATTTGAAG